GCGAGTGCGGGCGAGAGCCCAGCGCTGCCCCAGGCCAAGCTGGCCCAGCTCCATCCGTGCCCCTGCGGTGGGATGCTGTGGGACTGGGGGGGAAGAGGGAGCCGGCAGTGGGTGCTGGGCCTGGGGGGCAAGAGGAGAAGGGAAGGGGAAGCAGGGCTGAAGAAAAAAATGGTCAAACGGTGAACATGGGAGGAGAAGGTGGGATTGTGCAGAAGGAAGAATAGCAGGAGGAAGAGGAGTGTGAGGAAGAGTAGGGACAGAGGAGGAGGAGCAGAAAGATGCAGCACTACAAGGTTCCACCCCTCCCTGTATCTGCAGCCCCCACAGCCCCAGGAGTGTTGTCCCCCAACATGCAGCAGGTGACCAGGGAGGGGGATCCATGATTTTCACAGGACTGAATCTTGGCGGTTTTGAGCTTTATTGGGGTAAATGTTGGTGCTTTGTTTTTTTGCGGGTGCTGAATCTTTGTATTTTGGAGGAGATTTTGTCTGAATCTTGATGTTTGGGGAGTTTCTGGTCTGTGTCTTGAGGTTTGGAGGGTTTTTGTGCTGAAAGTTGATGTTTTAGAGGTTCTTACAGATACAAGATGCCAAATGACTTCCTGAGATGAACTTGGGCAAGGAGGAACCCCCAGCCCAAGGCGCTCTCCTCTTGTTTTTTCCCCCCAACCAGGGTCTTTCATTCCTGAGGAGTGATCGGATGGAGGAGGAGGAGGAGGAGAAGCCTTGGAGATGCCGCCTGAGGAGGGGCTGCAAACAAAGCCCAGGGAGCTGCAGGGAGGAAGGACCCCCCCTGTGCCAGGATGGCGTCTGGAGATCCAGCCAGAGACCAGAGCTGGGGGAGAAGGCTCAGGCCAGGGAGAAGCGCCACAAGTGCTTGGAATGTGGGAAGGGTTTCAGCTGCAGCTCCAAAGTGATCCAGCACCAGGTGATCCACACTGGGGAAAAGCCCTACAAGTGTAGGGAATGTGGGATGAGCTTCAGCCAGAGCTCCAACCTGAGGAAACACCAGAGGATCCACACTGGGGAACGGCCCTATGAGTGTGGGGAATGTGGGAAGAGCTTCAGGCACCGCTCCAGCCTGATACGACACGAGAGGATCCACACTGGGGAAAAGCCCTATGAGTGTGGGGAATGTGGGAAGAGCTTCAGCCAGAGCTCCCATCTGTGGCAGCACCAGAGGATCCACACTGGGGAAAAGCCCTATGAGTGTGGGCAGTGTGGGAAGAGCTTCAGGAGTATCTCTGACCTGATGAGACACCAGGTGATCCACACTGGGGAACGGCCCTACACCTGCTTGGAATGTGGGAAAAGCTTCGGGCTGAGCTCCACCCTTAGATATCACCAGCTCATCCACACTGGGGAGAGGCCCTACAAGTGTCCCAAGTGTAAGAAGATGTTTCAGACCAGCTCCACTCTCCTCAGACATGAGCAGATTCACACAGATGAGAGGCCCTTCTGCTGCCCTGACTGTGGGAAGAGCTTCAACCGCAATTCCACCCTCATCAGGCACCGGCGCATCCACACTGGGGAGAGGCCCTATGAGTGTCCCCAGTGTGGGAAGAAATTTTCTAGGAGCTCAGCCTTGACCAAACACCAACGGAGGCACCAGTAAGGGAAGCCCTACAGGAAGTGTGGGAAGAGCTCCATGTGCTGCTCCAGCTCCATCCCCCATGGGAGGATTGGTGTTGGATGATCCCCAGTGACCTCTGTTGGGCATGGTCAACATAGGCTGACCAACACCCTATTCAGTCTCATAATCTGAAGGTCGTGAGTTCGATCCTCACATGGGGCACCATTTGTAATTTTTCTTTTTTTGTCTCTTTTGGGTTGAATTTTCTGTGGATATATCTTTTCTCTAGTCTCTCAGCTTCTTTTGGGCTGAATTCTTCTGGGATCTTCTCTCGTGGGGAGTCTCACTTATCTTAGTCTTTATTATTCGAAGAAAACTCCTGAGCTCGTTAGAATTTTGTTTCTCATGTTTATTAACAGGTGATCACAAAACTTGACAGATTTCTTCAGGCTGGTTACAAGGTTAATTTTTGCAATTTGGCACATTTCTTTCTTCTGATGGTACAAACAAGGCTTTGTGGCACACATCGTGTCTAATGCACAAAATGGCTTCAAACTATGCAGTTCTTTTATCTTTATACTTATTTTTATCTAATTAACAGTAGATACATATATTTTTCTTAATGACTTAATGACTCATCACCTCTGTGATGTACTGCGGCATTTTCTATTTAATTACTTACTATTACTCAAAAACTTCTAGGACAAGAACATGAAGAAGAAAGAAGGGACAAGGGACAACACCTTAAATTCTCTATCTTGTCTCTTGTTCTCTAAACTAACTTTTTTACTCAGTGATTTAAAAAACTTTCTAATCTACACACTTACACTTTTAGCTTTTTCTATTTAACTTTAACACTTGTTTTCACGTATCACCATGAAAACATGTTCATAAATTTCATATTATATGGAATTCAATGGTTTTTTTTAGATTTTGTAACTAAGTATCAGAAACAAGGGCTCAAACTTTGTATTCTAGACTCTAACACTGGTGATCGGTGTTGGGAAGACACCTGGCTGGGAAGCTCCAGATCTTCCTGGCTCCCTGTTGGCACCTGGATGAACGCAGGGACAGGAATATCCATCAGAACACTGACCGAGAATGGGAATTCCTTGGGGAGAGCAGATTTGTTGATTTTTCAACCCCAGAAAAACTTTTTCATTCAATCCTATCTTCTGGTGGCATCAAGGAATACTGTATGGTCTTGGAGGACTTTTCCAACCTCAGTGATTCCACAGTTTTGATTTCCTATTGCCCAAGGGTGTTTTCCTCAGCCAAATGGTGATGGATTGGGGCAAGGACTGAGACTTTGGAGACAGTGGGGTGGAAACCCCTCCAAAAAAGGTTCTTCCCTCCCACCCAAGCATGGGGATCCTCAGCCGGCACAGACACAGAATTCGTTTTCTTTTGGCCTTGATTTGCTTTTCATTTCTCTTCATCTTTTGAAAACACCTGAAACTGGGGTAAAAATAAAGACATTGAACTAAAGCATGGGTGGGGACATTGAGGGACATAGACACTGTGGGACATAGACATGGATGTGGCCATTCATGGGGACATGGGGGGACACGGGCACAGATGGAGATGTGGGGGACAATGCCAGGGATGGAAACATGGTGAGGACACAGCCCTGGGTGAGGACCTGGTGGGACATGGCCAGTGACATGTGGGAACATGGCCATGGCCGCTGCCATGGGGGGAACTTGCAGGGGCTGTGAGGGATGCTTGGTTTGAGGGAGTTGAGGGTTCCTGGCAGGGACTTGGGGCTTGCTGAGGGCTTTGGGGAGCCCAGGCCGAGCGGCTGCGGCTGCACTGGGAGCCCCTGTCAGAGGTTCTGGGGCAGCTGCTCAAGGACCCCCTGGCCTGGAGCCCCAGCCGGGCATTGGGCTCCTGGAAGGGAAGGAATATCCTTGTCCCCAGGAGGGAAATCCCAGCACCCCCAGGGTGTGGGGGGCAGCTGAGAGGCCACACCAGGGAGGGGAAAGCCAGGCAGAGCTGTCCCACTCCAAAACTGCACCCCAAAAACTCGGCGATTCCTCCCAGGAAAGAGCTGCCAGGAGGTGCCAAAATTGAGTGAAAGGGGATATGGGATCCCTAGACTGAGGAGGAGAGGCCTGGAACCCCCAGACCCAAGCACTGGCAACAGGGCTGGGGACTGGGGGGATGATTGGAATGGGGCAAAAGAGTGGGGAAAAAGAGGGGGCTGGGACCCCCCAAATTGGGTTGGTAGGAGTCCCACTCCTCTTCCTTCTTTATCCTCTTCCTTCTTATTCCTCCTTGTCCTCTCTGGCCCTTCTCCCTTTCCTTCTTCCGCCCTCCTCCTCCATCCCTTGTTTCGCTCCCCACCCGGACCCAGCGCCCGCCCTTGGCCCCTGCTTTTCCCATCGCGGTCGCATCCCGCGGGAGGAGCCGCGATGGAGCCGGGCCAGGTCGGGCTGGGGCAGCGCTGGGCTCTTGACCCAGACTGGGCGCACCCACGCGCTCCCTCCCCAGATTTCCCTGGCGGCCTCGGGGGATTCAGGTGCCTCCCAAGGACCCCCAGAGCTGGGTGGGGGGACACGGGGGGGGACATATGTTCTGCCCCCGAATCACAGCCCCCCTGCAGGGTCTCCCCAAGTCCCTCCCCACTGCCCCCCATAAACGGGACTGGGGAGAACTGGGAAGCTTTATATGGAACACGGGGAGCAGCGGAGTGGGGGACACACGACCCCCCCGAAAACCACAGGGACAGAGCAGGGGGCCCAGCCGGGCCCGAGGCCTTGGGGAGCGGCTGCGGCTGCC